CGGGCACAATCCTGGGCACAGGCTGATCCTCCTCCTTGGGGAGCGTGCCCTGTAAGCACAGCCCCTCAGAGGACACCCTCCCGCCCGCACACGGCTGCCTCAGCAGCTCCAGCAGGGACTGCTGCGCCAGCAAAGGCATCTCAGAGGGTCACACGCAGAAACTGAGGCATGGAGCAGCACACTCAAGTTCCCAGGCAGAGCACGGCTTCCTCGGGCTCCTCAGCTCACCACAAGCACGGCCCACATCCCCCCCACCCAAGCACAGCTGTCCCCCACCCCCAGGCAGCCCCGCATACCGTGGGGTCCTGGGAGGACACGTCGCAGTGCTCATCGCTCCTCTCGCAGGGCTGGCTGCCACAGCGGGTGCCCGACGGTGGCAGGGTGGCCTGAGAGGGGCTGAGGTGGCCGGTGGAGAGGCTGCCGTGGTGGCTTTTCCTCCCGTAGCTCTCCAGGTAGCCACGGACATAATCGGAGTGGGTGGCAGCCTGGTAGAGACCCTGCAGGTTGCCGAGCTCCGGCCGGGCGCGGGTGCTGAGCGCGCCGGCCGCGGGCAGGTAGGTGCTGTCTGAGGTGTGCAGCCCCGAGAACTCCCGCGCCAGGTCCGAGTGGCTGATGGATTTGTGGCGGCTGAGGGGCGCTGAGGAGGGCAGGTAGCCCGTGGGGCTGCCGGGGGTACCGGAGAAGGTGTAGCAGGCACCTCCGCTGAGCCCGGCGCCGGGCGGCCGCGGCTGCGTGCGGAGGTACGAGGGGCTCAGGCGGATGCTGGGGTCGGGGTACAGCCGGCCGCTGTCATAGCCACTGGTTGGGGACAGCCCCCCAGCGTGGTGGTAGCGGGGGGAGGGCAGGTAGCTGGCTTTGAAGCCGATTTTGTCGCTGTCTGCGTAGGCGGTGGACAGGGTGGATCCATAGGAGCTGTAGGAGCTGTAGCCGCTGGGCACTTTGCTGTAGGTGCTCTCGGCGTAGCGGGAGGAGTCCACGTATCGCTTCAGGGTGGAGGAGAGCTGGGACATGCTGCAGGCTGGGGCTCAGCAGGCTGTCCTGGAGGCATCGGCTGCAAGGGAAGAGTCCAGGGATCAGTTCCACAGGCCCTGCTCAGCACAACAGGGCACCCAGCAGCTCCCACCCAGCACCTCCTGCCTCCCCTGGAGATCCTGGGAGACAGAGGAGATCCAGAGGCTGTTGGTGACAGTGTGGCCATGGCTCCTGCCACCTGCCAGCCTTCCGGGAGAGCCTGGAACAGCAGGACCCGGCTGGCACTGCCACCCCCATGCCCCCAGGCACCTCAAACCACAGAAGGGAGCCCCAGGGCACAGCCAGGTGCACCCAGCATCCCCATAGTCACCAAGGAACTGCAGCAGTCACATCTGCCCTAACCCTGGCATCCCTGCCACACCACCCCATGGTTGTCCCACTCTTGGGGCTAGAAACACATCCCCAGTGTCTCCTCCAGGTGGGAGACAGTGGCCTGGTCACAGGATGATGCCCAGGCCCAGCTCTGGCTGAGACAGGCAGCTGGGATGGGCCAATCCAGCCAGACCAGCACCTTCCCCTGGTTACTCACAGGGAGTGCTGGGGTTTGGCAAAGGGCTGGCGTTTCAGTGAGAGGGAAACTGAGGCAAGGCCAGCATCTGAGCAGCTTTCCCATCTCCCTGCCATGGCTGTGCCCCGTGTGCCCCCATCAGTAACTCAAGCCGAGTGTCCTCCTGGTGAGGTGGCCGCTGTGCCCCTGCCAGCCAGGCAGAGCCAGCACTCGGTCCCCACAGAAAGCTGGTGGCTCCTGCACAGGGCAGGAGAGGAGCACACAGAGACAGGGATAGAGGCCCCCAGAGCACTCACAGAGCCAACCCGGAGCAGGGACAGGTCAGTGTGGCAGCCAGCAGTCCCCAAACACAGGCTGTCAGGAGCTGGAGGAGAATTTGCCCTCAGCACCCCGGCTGGCAGGCTGATGGCTGGATCCCTACCTGTGCTGAGGCTGTGGGTGGCACTAGGGCAGGCAGGACCCAGCCGAGCTCCTCTGCCCTGGTGCTGCCGGTGCTCAGCTCCCGGGGTGACTGGTGTCCCTTCCCTGGCAGGACAGTGGCTCATGTGGCTCGGAGAGTCTCCAGTCACCCGGGAGATGACCCTGATTCAAAGGCTTTTCCCAGCCCAGCCGGGGCGGGCTCTGGCCCGGCTCCAAGCCAGGAGGTGCCGGAGTCTGTGCCTGGCCCGTCCCTTGCAGCACCGAGGGTGCACCCGGGCTTGGGGACGGGCGCTGGATCGCGGCACGAGGAGCCACCGCGGGTCACTGCCAGCCTGGCCCTGGGGGGACACAGCCTCCTGCTCAGAGCCCCGCAGGCTCAGGGTGGAAACGCCCCGGGAACGCTTCTAGGAGGGGGTGGTGAGAGACAGCAGGCAGCCCCCGTGGGCTCCTGGAGGGCAGCCTGGCTTTGCAGCCAGCCGGCTGCATCCCGGGAGCTGCTTTAACTGCCCAGGGAACAGCCATCCCACCGCGGAGAGGGAAATATTTACAAGCAGCAACGAGGTGGAGCGCACAGACCTGTTTGGGGACGGAGGCTGAAGGGTGAATAATCTGCTCCCGGGCAAGGGCGCCACGAAACACCCGGCTTGGCTCTTCCCAGCCTGGCTGCGGCCGCCCCTCACCGGGAGCGGGGCTCTGCCAGTCAGGATTTGACATGGACAGTGGGGAATTTCGCTCACAGGGAGTGGGACCCCAGCCAAGAGACTGGCATTCGAGTGCCAGGATGGGAGTGACAGAGCCCCTGGGCTCCCAGGGAGCACATGCCTGGCTGCCTGCCCTGCTGGGGCACGGAGCAGCCTGGCACAGAGGCTGCCCCTGCTCCCCATCCTCCTCGCCAGCAGAGATGATCTTGGCTTGGAACAGTGCCAGGACAGCCCCACGCCATCATCCCCTGCCAGGTGCCCACGCTCTCTCCTGGCACCAGCAGCATCACGAGAGCACCAGTTTGGGAAGAGGAGGGCAGCAGGAGCTCCTGGCAGCAGGACAGGTCTCCACAGGGCAGCACCTGCCCTGGGGATGCAGAGCAGCCGATGGAGGGATGCAGGGTCAGGAGCGGCACCGGCCCCAGACACGGGAGCTATCCCTTCCTTGGGAAGAGAGGCCTTACCATGGAGGAATGTCACATCTGCCAGGCTTGCCTGTGCTTCCAAGTCCCCATGTCACATCCGAGCAGACCCCAGGGCGGCGGGAGAGCGGAGCGTGGCAGGAGCCAGAGGAGCTGAGGGGGTGTGAGAAAACCCCGGTTCCTCCCAGCGCTTCCTGGGCTGCTGGCCCCTCCCTACCCGTCATTGTGCTGAGCTTTCCTGCTGCCTGGCAAAGCCCTGGGGCCGGCACGGCTGAGTCAGGCCTCCTGCACCCTCATCATCCTCCCGGGGTGTCAGGGGAAGCTGAGGCACAGGAATGTCCGGTCTGCGCTCACGGGGCCAGACAGGAGCGGTGCCACCACATGGGAGAGGGACACCACGGGGCTGTTTGAGACACTGGGCAGTCCTGCCCTGGCCTTCCCTGGGAATCACAGCTCAAAGTGAGGAGGCAAAACCTTCACTCTGGAGGCAGAGAAGCAGAGCCCTGCTCTGTCCCCAGTTGCTGTCCTGCCCGTGCCCAGTGGCAGGTGTCCCCTCTGTCCTGCCCGTGCCTGGTGGCAGCTGTCCCCCTCGGTGGCCACGGAGCCCCAGAGCGGGCTCGGCTCAGCTTACACAGCGCTGGCTCCATCCAAGGTGTCACAGCACAGCTGCTTCTCGCTTACGCAGGCTTGGAGCTGTGTCCCCTGTCCCCTGAGACACAATGTCCCAGCCTGGAGGTTACGTGGGAGCTCCCAGGACTCTGCCGTGGTAGAGGCACAGAGAGGACCCTGTGTGAGGCACTTTGCACGCTTCAGGGTACAAGTGCTTTGGGGTTGAGGGCTCTGTGTCCAGCTGAGTGGGGTGGGACAGCCTCCTGCCCATTCCCCAAGGGAAACAAGGCACAGAATCCTCCAGGTATCCATTTCCCTCTAGAAAGGGTGATCCAGAGCAGCCCTGGGGGAAATGTGCCACAAATCGTTTACTCCCTGGAAGGGACTGGAGTGACCCTTGTTGACAGATGGGCACTGCAGTGCCTCTGTCACAGCCCAGCTCCTGAGTTGCCCCCAACCACTCCCACCCCCCAAAGTGACAGGCCCTGCCCAAGGTGACTCACCCAGCCGGGGCCAGCCTGGCCAGGGCCCTTCTTCTGCCGGCCCTGGGCCTGAGAACCCCCCCAAGCTCACCCCACACGGCCGGGAGTCACTGCCCTGGCCCCGCTCTGTGCTGCTGACACATCCCCACCCTGCTGCAGAACCTGCTGCTCGCTGCTCCTGGGCCACCCCCCGGGCACCAAAACCCCAAACCCACCGGGGACCCTGACGTAAGACCCAGGGCATGAGTTACTGCTTTGAGGTCTGTGGGTGGCAAAAAAAAAGAAGGGACCCTCGGGCAGGTGCTCTGCCCACACCGGGGGACAAGGAGAGTGCCAGGGAGGGCTCAAAGCCAGGATTTTGTGTGTGAACTCGGAGCTTTCTCCCTGGAGAGAAACCTCTCCCCCGTGGTGTTATCCAGCTGAAGGAAGAGTGGGACAGTTTTGTCTGTCTCCGTGTCCCCTTCCCGGGGCGGTGTCCCCACCTGCACTCACCTGCATGTGGCGCGGGTGGCCGATGGCTGCTCAGGGCACGGCGAGGGGCGACCAGCCAGGCATTCGGTGATGCCCTCGGGGCTGATCCTGCCTCCTTGGGGAGCTTCCCCCGGCACCGGAGATGGGCGATGTGGAGATGGGCAGCAGCCGAGCCCGTCTCAGGGGACAGGACACCCCCGGCTCAGCCCCTCCACCCTGGGAGGGAACGCAGTGGCCGGAGGGGGCCGAGCCCGAGGGCTGTGGGGCCACGTAAAAACACCACCGCAGAAATTCAGGGCTCAGGTTACCAGCCAGATAAATATAGTGTCTTTATCTGACCTCACAGGGCGCTGAAATGCTCCTCTCGCATTCCAGCTTGGGGAGGCTTAAAGGGGACGCGAACCCGGGGGGGCTGGTGGCCCACGGCAAGGGGGTGCCGCGAGGGGAGGCTGCGGGGCAGCGGGGGCTGTGCCAATGGAGGAGGAGGACGGAGGGTAAGCGTGAGGAAGGGAGAGATTTGTGGAGGGAGGTCGAGGTCCAGGAGGGAAAGGATAGAGGGAGGGTTAAGGGAGGGAGAGGGGGGGCACACGACTTGGTGTGGGGGGAGGGAGGCACAAAAAAGGGGTGGTCGTGGCTGCCAGCAAGGTTTGGAGTAGAGAATCAGGGTGAGGGGAGGAGCTGGACTGGGTTTGCCCGCTGTGGGGTGAGCTGTAGGGAGAAGAGCCCCCTAAACCTTCAGCAAAGGTGGGCATGGGGCAGCTGGCGTGGCATGGCCACCCCTCATGGATCCATGGGGACACCGGGGCGCCGCTCCGGGACGCCTGACCCGCCCAGCCTACGGCACCTGCGTGGCCGTGACTCAGCGAGCACCTGCTGGGGATAATGGGGAGGGATGTAATTAGGGTGGCATCTTCCTCCCTCCCTCCCGCCTGGCTCCAGCCCTTAAACAGGGAGGGAACGCGTCGGGGCGTCGCTCTGGGAGGTGGCGCAGGGTCACCAATGGTGTTAAGGGGTGGTGGCAGTCTCCTGCTGGTGGCTCCTGGTGCCAGGGTTGACTCTGGGCAGGGCAGTGTATGGCTGCTCCAGAGGACACGGGAGCCCTTGGCAGCCCCCCAGGCAGCGTGTGGGCACGGGGGCTCCAGCAGGACCCTGGTGTGACGGGCACAGGAGCTTTGGGACACGTGCACACCCAGCCCCGCTCCCATGGCCACTTCCATCCCTGGCAATTCCCTCCCCAGAGGACGGATGGGCCAGCATACTGTGGGCAGTAGGTGGCCTCTGAGATGGAGGTGGGGGTTTAGAGACAGGGATAGGGACAAAGGGTCTGGGTCCAGTTGGGCAGGAGGGGGTTGCTCTGCCCAGGAAAGTTGCCCCTCTGCCTGCTTCTCTCCCACAGACATTGGGGTGCTGGAGGCACAGGAGGGTTGCCTGGGGAGCTGTACCCCTCGGCAGGGTCCTGGTGCCCTGCCCCACACAGCCCTTGTCCCCACCACCGCACACACGGGCGCCTGTGGCTCCAACACACAACCTAGGTAGGGTTTTATTGTGCAGACAGAGGAACACTCCTGGATGGTAAGGTGGTTTTTTTTGTTGTTGTTGTTGCTTTTCATAGGGTTCTTTTTTTTTTTTCCCATTTTTTTTTCCCTTTTCCCTTAACAGAATTTCTTTGACGACAAGCTGTGGAAACAACTACAAATGTTCACAAAAAAATGAGACTCGAGCCGCGTCCGCGCTCTGCCGCTGGGCTCTGCGCTTGCCCCGGCGCTCGCCAGCACGCCCAGGGAGCTGGGCACAGCCAGGCCTCAGCTGGGCACGGCCTCAGCAGCACTAGACAGCAAGCAAGCAGGCAGGGATGGGCAGGGGATGGGCACGGGGGTAGGAAGCAGCTCTGGAGAGGAGCAAGGAGTGGGGAGCAGCTGCTGTGTATTGCTCTCAGCCGTGGTGGCACAGCCCGGGCTGCACGGGTCTCACAGCTGGGGTTCACCCCATGCACCTGGATGCTCCTGCCTGCCTCTTCCTTTCCCTGTGTCCTCCCCTGAGTGAGGCTCCTCGGGGTCCCGTGGGCATCCAGGTAGCAGATCTGAACTGTGCTGGCCATCCCTGTCCTTGCTCTCGCCAACCCCTGGCACCATCCTGGCCTTACCGAGGTTGTGGGCTGCCCTTCCATCCTTTGCTGCTCTTAAAGGGAGACAGGGAAATGCTGAAAGGTAGGAGGGAGAAGGGAGGGGGCACACAGGCTCCTCCCAGGAGCATGGTGGGATTTGAGGAAGACTGCTCTGCCTCTCTATGAGGAAGGACTGGGGTCCCCAGATGTTCCCTTAGGGAAGACAAGGTGCCAGTGCCGGGAAGTCCCTATGGAGACCCTGGGGTCACACTCCCAGAGGAGAACCCCCTCCCCACCAGCCAGCTGGGGTGCAGCTCTGAGAGCCCTGGGGCAGGCAGTGGGGCTGTGGCTAGCTCAGAGAGGCTCTGCTTGCCTCCACTGGTGCTGGCAGCAATTCTCTCGTCACAGCTAAGGGCTGGTCCCCGGGGAGAGCGAGTGATGTCTGGCTCGGGCAGCCCAAAGGAACCAGATGGTGTCTGGAGGAGGCCTCACTTCCAGCTCAGCTGTAAGAAACAGATTAGGAAAAACTTGTTGCCGAAGCACATTTGCACTGAGCCCGTTCCCAGGGCCCCAGAGGAGCCCTAAGGAGGCAGGGGAGCTTCATGGTGTCTCCTAGACCTGCTCCTCTCTCTCCTCCCCCAGCCTGCCAGGCCCAGCAGCATCCCATGGCTCCCCTGCTCACTGAGACAGGAGTAATTTTGTGCCCTCTCCCAGCCGTGGCAGCTCAGGTGAGAGGAGCAGGGTGAGGAATAAGTCACCCGGGTGGCAGGCAGGGTAGGTGGGGACACCAAGAGCCCTGTCACCTCCAGGAGCCACAGCACACCACCCACCACAAGCACAGCACCCACCATGGGCACCCTCTGCATGCTTTCGCATCACCCCTCTCTCTTACCTGCCAATCCAGCTGTCTTTCCCCACTTGAGAACAGGCAAACCCCAAGAGTTAAAGGGATGGGACAAGCGAGGCTGAGGCCTCCAGTGCTCCCAGCACAAGCAAACCAGCCAGCCTACGGAGCGGGGAGGCGCGATGGGAGAAGCAACGCTGCCTAGCAGAGCCACCATGCTTCGGAGCGGGGCGTGTGTGCATGGGATGGTGGGCCTCGGCACAGGATGGTGGTTAGCGTTAATATACGGCTAAATAGAGATAACACAGAGAGGTTTCACGGCTTCCAGACGCTTCAGCTTCTCTTTCCAGGGGCTGCGAGGAAGGCGGGGTGGCTGGGGTGCTCAGTGTGTGCGTGCGTGTGTGTGCGAGCGCTGTGAGTGTGTGTGTGTTTCGCCTTTCAGAGGGACACGAAGTCCACGGCTTGCAGGAGAGGCAGGGAAAGGAGCAGCAGCAGGAGCCACGAGGTGTTCTGGATCAAGAGGCTGAAGCCGGCGCATTTCTCCAGTTTGTCTGTGAGGAGAAGGAATGGGGAGGGAGAGAAGAGAGGCAATGAAATCCCTCGGGAGTTCTAATGGTACTGGAACACAGCTTCTTGCAATGCAGCACGCCCCATCCTGGCCTGTTTCCCTCCTAACATGTAGCAGCAAAGATTTTTTGAGACCCTGAGAAGCATAACCCTGCCTGTGCCTGACTGAGGTGACAAGTGGATGGGCACCAGGTGAGACAAAGGTCTCTGCATCTGGAGGAGTGCTCCTGTGGGATGCAGGTGTGGAGGATCCCCACTGTCCTCTCTATGAGAGGATATCTAGGCAATGTGCCCGAGGTGGGACCCAAGAGAGGCAGGAAAAGCACTGTGAGATGGGGTAGAGTGAGTCCATCTGTGGGATGAAACCCACCTGAAGGGCATGTAAGGGTTAGGACATAATTTATGGACTCAGGGAGGATCTGGGGACAGGGAGTTGTGGTGTTCTCTGCTGGTCGGAGTAGGTGGGAAGGACTGAGGCCAGGTGCTACTGCCTGTCTCACCTTTGATAACAGTGATGTTCTTTATCTGGTTGCCGGTGTAGTCGTTGGTGGCCTTCAGCTCGCACATGTAGATGCCCTCATCGCTGGTGGTGAAGCTCTGCAGGTGGAGGCACACCAGGTTCTTGTGCATGGTGACGTTGGCTCGGCTCCGGTAGATGTTCTCGGAGACGCTGATGGTGCTGTGGATGACGTGCTTCCTGTTGTCCTTGGTGATGCTGAACTCGTAGGTCAGGGGGTTGTCGGTTTTGTTCTCATAGCGACAGTCCACGCGCAGGTTCTGGCCCAGCAGGCAGGCACTCAGGTCTTTGATCATCTGGCAGTTGGCGGCCTGGAGGACTGGGGAGAGGCAGGAGGGGGTTGGACAGGGAACAGCGAGATCTGGGGGTGCCCATACAGCCTCCAGGCTGGTGTGGGCTGAGCAGGGAGCAGGGAGGGATGTACCTGTCAGGATGACAGCAATGCCCACGGTGGGGTTCATCTTGCTGCTGAGGTGCCCAGGGGGGGCTGTCTCTGAGAGGGGAACCTGGGCAGGGGGAGAGAGAGGCAATTAGCCAGGCCACTGCCCCATGGGTGTGGGCACTCGGTGGTGCAGGCTGCCCTTCTTGCATAGCCGATGCTCTAGCGCCTGCTCCTCCTCGCCAGTGTCTGGTTCACTGCACAGAGCCTGGCTGGCACTGCACCCAGCTGGGGAATCAGGCACTGTGTGTCTGCCCAGCATCATCTTTGCACATGCCCAGGCAATGCCCCATCCACACTTTGTTTTCCCTGTCCAGATCCCCCCCAGCAGACATTAAATGAGCGTGGCCAGACCTGCAGCAAGGCCTGCATGTCCAGTCTCCTCCCCCTTTTGCCCCATGGCCAGCCAAGGTTTGGATAGGTGAAACCAGGCTGCACCCCAGTGCCCGCACACTTTGACCAGAGGTCTGTGGCTCATGGTGAGGGGGCTGCCAGCTGAGGGACCCTCTTTGGGGGCAGTGGGTGCCCGCCCTGCCAGTTCTTGAGCAGCTCCAGCGGGTGAGCTCAGCAAGGATGAGTCATTGCGATGCAGTGAGGGAAAGGGGCCAAGAGCAGTGAGGAAGAGGGACACAGCAGCTGGACAGTGAGCCAAGACCACCGAAAGATGGCACAAAGCCTCCAGGAGCTGAGCTCAGCCTGCCTGGCCATGGTGTGGAAGGGGTTTGGGTGGCAGCATCCACTGAGTCCCTGCCCAATGCCTGTCTCTCTCCAGGCTGTGTGTGTGGGTAAGGGGCCCGTGATGTGCCATCCAGACACCAGGGCTGCTGATTCCAGTCAGCCCAATGCAGCCACAAGGAATCAATTAAAGATTTGCAGCCTGGCCAAGCAGCCGCGTGGGGAATCCAGCCGCAGACATGCGGAATGGAGGGACAGTGTGGGGGAGCAGCGAGGCAGCCGGGCTGAAGGACACACCAAGCATCCTGCAGTCAGCTCTCCAGGCTGGCCATGTGGGGCCAGGTCCAAGAGGGGGAGCTGATAAGCCAGCCCTTCGTAACTCCAGGCTGGCAGAGGGGACAACAGCCCCTCAGTTTGCTCCCTCTGAGCCTAGCAAAGCATCCAGGGAAGAGCTAGGAATTGCCTGTACCACAGCCAGCTACATTTTTCTATTTCACAATTTTTGGGTTTTTCATATAACGTTCCGAGAGGAAATACCAAACCCATTTGCTCACCCTGAAGCTCTGAAAAGTCTCTTTATCCAGAACCCTAAACCCTGGCCAGGAGGAAAAATTCTCTTCTCTTTGATCTTGACACCCAAGAGGTTGCCAGTGGGGTAAATGCTTGAACCTCTGGATTCCTAGAAACTGTCCCTCCATCCCTTGCTTTGCCATTTCCCAGCATTAATCTGCTCCCTTTTGAATGTCCTGGGACACTATCTAGGTCATAGCCTGGCTTTCCTCCAGAAAATCCAAGCTCCCAGAGAGGGGGTTTTCCTCCCACCTATGTGCCCAAACACTCAGATTTTCTAGGCTCTGGGTTGATAGCCCTTGGACCCCTCTTCTCCTGCCAGCAGTGCTGGGAGCAGAGCAAGCCAGGTAACTCTCACTCCTGCATGATCCCAGGGGTTTGGCGTAGGGACAGGACTCAGGGGGATGGTGGCATTTGCGGGGCTCCAGCTCTTAGAGGGCAAAGTTCCTGGCGTGGTCCCGACCTGCTCGGGGTCACACCATGGTGGTACCTACCCCCTGTGCCCAACAGCGTGACAGGCTCAGAGTGACAAACGAGCTGCAGGGATGGGGACGGGGGCGTGCAGAGCCAGGCTGGTGGGCTGACGGACCGCAGAGCCGCAGGATCCTGGCTGTGCCGGGGGGTGGCTGCCAGCAAAAGGGGTGCACGGGGACGCGGGGCGCAGGGAAGAGCGATCGGGCGACCCTCGAGAGGGGCAGGAGGGCTCGGGGTGGGCGAGCTCCCCCCCTGCAGCAGCGCAGAGCGGGAGCGCGGCTGCGGTGCGGGCGTGCGCACGGGCGCGCCCACCGGGAATGCCGCAGTCCCGAGCCGAGGGTGGGGGGCACCGGCAGCGGGGCGAGAAGCTGAGCCCATCCCCTCCTCCAGCGCGCTCCGTCCGGCCGAGCATCCCCCGGGCGAGGGGCGAGATGCCCCCGGTGCCACCGCGGCGCCCGGCCACTGCGGACCCTCCCCCGCCCGCAGCCCCGCGTTGTGCCCCGAGCCCAGCGGCTGCTCCCGGCCCGGCAGCGTGCGGGGCGCTGCGGGGCGGCCGGTGCTTACCTGCGGGCGCTGTCCGGTGCTGCCCGCTGCCTGCGGGGCTGCCGGCGCTGTCCGGGGCTGCCCGGCGGGCTGTGGGCGCGGCGCTCCCGCAGTCTGGGCAGGGCTGGGCGGGCGGACCCAGCGAATGGGGACCGGGAGGCGTCACTGAGGCTCGGCCCCCGGCCCTGCGGTGGGGGGCGGTGCGGGGGGGCCCTGCCTCTGCGGGACTCGGACGCCCCCGCCCCGGACAAGGGGCGCGCACTGATGCGGAAGGTGCCGTTCGCCCCCCTTATGTTCCCCAGGAAGGGCGACACATCCCTATCGCCATGGGAACATCATTTTGCGGAAGAGATGCCAACCCTCATCTTCCCCGGCAGCGTGGGAGGTGTTTTGCTGGGAAAGGAGGATGGTTGGGAAGGGGGAAAGGAGCTTGGTGTGGGCTTTGCTGAGGAGGGGGCAGAGGTATCATCCTCTGCCACCAAATGAGTTCAGCTCAGGTGCTCCAAGAGGCCACTCTGCACCAGGTCACCACAGGTCTCCTCCATGTGGGAAATAATTGTGAATCAATGATTCACAATGCTGAATCAAAGAATCACACAATCATTTAATTTGGGAAGGATCTTTAACACCATCAAGTCCAACTGCTAACCCAATGCTGCCAAATCTACAGCTAAGCCATGGCCCCAAGTGTCACATCTACAGGCTCTGTCTGTGATGGCATTGGACACAGACCTTCAGTTTTCAGCCCAGGTCTGGTGACAATGAGGACACAGCAAGGTTTTCCTCCCCACAGGCTCCCATCAGCATGTTTGGAAAGGGGATAAGCAGAGCTGCATTTGCCCAGGCAAAATGGCTTTGGATCCAGAAAGCAGCCTGGGACAAGACCTCTTCCCTGGTCTTTGTCAAGGTCATGACAGCAGAGGAAGGCAGCAGCAGGGAGCTGTTCTCCCTGGGAGTTTGGGTCCAGAGGTATCCCAGGAAGGCACAGAAACACACAGGATAGCCTGCCCTGCCCTCACCTCCTCCCACAGCCCTGGCTGGGCCCTGCTAAAAGGGCTGACACTGGGAAAGTTGATATAAAAGTCATGTTCTCCTCCAGCAGAACCTGATCCCAGGTGACACTCGAGTGCTGAGGTTTTGCAAGCTGGCTGTGCAGGGGGTTTTGCTAATTCCACAGAAGCTTGGCTGTGGCTGCTTGCTTACTACATGGGCTGCAGGTGTGCTGGCCCAAACAGGGACAGCCCCCCAAGCTGGCCAGGGGGCCTGTGGTGCCCTGGGAGTGTTCAGCAGGGTCCCAGTGTGCTGCCATGAGGAGGGCAAAGAGCTGACCCTTGTGGCAGTGGGGTGTTGAAGGCACTGTGGCAGCATGACACACCACACTGCTGGCTCAGTCTGGCAGGGCTGGCTATGGATGGGAGGAGAGGCATGGCAAAACAACAGGGAAAGATACCGAGACTGGAAGCAGACGGATGCAAAGGCAAAGAGACAGACATGAGGCATGCTGCAATGTTGTTGTCAGGGGGGAAAATATTGCAAGCACAAGGTCTACATCCAAACACAGCTGTGATGTGGGGCAGCACATTTAACCACACACACACACACACACACACACTCTCACTCACACGTGGGTCCTTTTCACATTTAGCCTCACATCTCCATAAGCTGCATCTCCTCCGCATCCCCACCCTCAACTGCAGCTATTGCACAGTGAACCAGGGAATTCAAGCTCCAATTACTGGCTTCTAGAGGCATGCAGTGGCCCAAGTCCCACTGCGAGAGATTTGGGCTTCCTTTCAGTCTCTGGCTGTAGAGGCAGGCGTGAGTGTGCAGTATCTGGGCAGTGCTGGCAGCCACTGTCCTGCCTACGTGTTTGCAGGAGGCTCCTTGCAGAGGTTTTCCCTTTTGCTGCAGATTGCAGCCTGGCTGCTATCCCTAAACCAGAGAAAAGCACCCAAGTCACACCTAATGCAGAGGCCTCCGGATAGCAGCCAGAGGAAAGGAGTGGGGAGGAGAAAACCTAATGGAGAGGAGGGCAGGCAGTGTTTGCAGTGGTGGGTGTCAGTCAGGGAGACAGACAGCAAGAGGGACAAGGAGGCAGCCAAACAGGCACAGTGCAGCACAGCAGTGCAGACACCAGCAGGAACGAGTGGATGCGGCAGGACAGACAGACCAGCAGGCAGAAGCAGGGCACAGACAGCTTCCCTGGGAGCTCAGAGCAGCCAAACTGCCCCTGGATCCTCTCTGGAGAGAAAGCCAGGGCATGTGGGTGTTCCTGCTCCCAATAGCTCAGTAGCTGCAGGAGGCAGGCTAGGAGCAGAGGCTCTGAGGGGCATCATGACTCGGGTGTCTGGTGATGCTGCAGCAATTAAAACCTGGCCTTGCCCAAGGACATCCTGCTGCAGGAGACACCCTTCTAGGAGAAAGGTGGATGCACATCCTTCCCAAGAGGAACATTTCTGCCCTGCCCTCAGCCTATCCCAAACACAGGAATTGGAGAGTCTCTCCCTTTTCCTCCTGCTCATGAATCACAGCACAGCAGCACACCCTGGGTCCTGCTCAAAACAATGCCCACACAGCAACCATTTGCTCCCACGCTGCCAGTTGCTGGGGAGAGGTGATGTAAGGACACGGACAACAGGACCTGGGGGCAGCCGTGCTGTGGAAAGACCCCTGACACCCTCCCCAAGGCCATTAGAGCTGAGGAGTTGCAACATCAGTGGTAGAGCTGCAGAGATCACAGCCCAAGGAGTGACTGCCTCATGGCTCAGCCCCTGCCCCAGAGACAGGAGGGCTGCAAAGGGTTTGCTCCTCACTGCATTAAGCCAAACCCAGGCCCTTCCCACCCCATCTTTGAGGTGACAAGGAAGGGAGGCTGCAGAAGAGCTGTGCCCTTGATTGGAGGGACAGAATGGCCCTTGGGAGCCCAGTGAGGCCCCACAGATGCTAAATGTAGCACGGCCCAGATATTAAGCCCCTGGGCTTTGTGGCAGTGCTGCACAGAGCAGGGGTGGAGGAGACTGTGCTCCCCTGCTTCCTGCAGGTAGCACAGAGCCAGGGAAAACAGGGGCAGGCAGGACTCCTGCTGCAACACTGCCTGGGGTCGCATCAGCCTGGCAAAGGAGATGGCTGGCACAGAACCCCAGCCTTGGTGGCCTGTACCTGCTTTGTGCCTGTGTCCTGCATAAAGAGAACCCCAGAGAATGAAGATCTCTAACAGTGATGAGGGCTAAGCAGTGCCTGTGAGCAATCAGCTCCAGCCCTGCACTGACACACTTGCCAGCAGGAACATCCCTCGCTTCCCCGTTTGCTGCACACTCTATCCTGGAGCTGCCTCGTAGCTCCTGGCTCTGTGCTCACAACCAGTCATCACATGAGTGCCCCAAAGTGGGAATGTTGTCAAGGGGCTTCTCTGGGAGGCTGCCAGCACTAAGCATTCACTACAGTGTAGGATCCTCCCCAGTAAATCCTGTTTCACCTGCACTGCTGCCTTCCCAGCCTACTGGGATCCACCAGACAAGACCCAGCAGTGGAGCTGTCCTGCCAAAGCAGAGCAGAGCCATTGTCCCTGGAGCCTGATATCCATCTGGAGGAGGAGCTGACTATCTCTGTCTGCCTCCCGCCCAAGGCCACTAAAATCTCTTTGCAAGTCTTAGGAATCCTTGTGGGAGCCAGCCAGGACACGAGGAGCCAGCTCAGCCTGGAAGAGGAGGTTGACTGAGGTAGAGAGCTCTTAGTTTGCTCCATCTGCTCTCCAGACTGAGTGGGAAGGGTGCTTGGCTGCCTGCTCCAGCCTCCTCCTCACCGCCTCCCATCACATCCTGTTAGTTCTCAGCAGGGGCTGGGTTTTTTGGGAGAGCTGCTTTCTGCACTGTGCCCTGCAAAGCGGATCTCTGCTGAGCTGTGAGCAAGACTCATCCCTGCGGGCGGGAGAGGCATCTCTGCCAGTTGAGCCAGGCAGGTCTGGCAGGTAAATACTGGCTCAGTTTGCAGACCTTACCTGCAGGGTCAGTAGCCACAGGGCCTGTATTTCAAGCTCTCTGCAAGGTGCCACATCCCACCGGCTCTTTGGAGGGGAGTGAACATGGACAAGCTAGAATTGGGAAAAGGTGCCACTTCAGGTGGTGAAACTCCCCTCTGCCACCTGCTGAACACCTGTGACACCACCACCCTCACTCCCTTTAAAATGGGGAGTACCTGTGGGACTGATACGGGATGTGCAGCACTGGAAGCCCCAGGAGGGAACTGATTCCCAGACAAACCTTAAGCCCCTTTGTTTTACAGAAACTTACACATGTTGGAAAGGAGATGCTGCTGGGGGCCTCCAGGAGGTGCTGGACAGAGAAAGAGCACAGCATCATTTCTGCTTCCCATCCCCAGCCATGCTTTCCCCTCTATCTCAGGAGAGATGACTAATGCAAGTTACAGAAAGTGGAAATAGCTTCCTTGATTATTCTCTTCCTATCTGCTGGGCCTTAAGGAATAGAAAGTATTTATTAACATTCCTTATTTATGAAGGAACCATTAGGCCAAGGTGGTTAACTCTCACCACACAGGTTCCTAGGGATAGCACTGCAGAAGAACCACAGGAAGCAGCTGCCTGCAGGGTCTCCCAGTGCTCTGAGCCAGTGGGAAGAGGCAGGTTAAATCCAGTCCACAGTTAAATACAGTCTACAACTTCCTCCTGAGGGGCAGCACCAATCTCTGCTCTTTGATGACCAGGGACAGGAGGTGCAGGAATGGCTGGAGCTGTGCCAGGGGAGATTTAGGTTGGATATTAGGAAAAGAGGATGGAGAGGCACTGCCCAGGCTCCCCAGGGAATGGTCAGGGCCCCAAGGCTGCCAGAGCTCCAGGAGTGTTTGGACACTGCTCTCAGGGATGCACAGGGTGGGGCTGTTGGAGCTGTGCTGTGGGAACTCAACGACCCTCCCAACTCAGGATATTCCATGATTCCATAAATAAAGGCAGTTTTGCCCCTTTCCAGCACGGCACAGGGCTCAGTCCTACCCTGAGGCTGTCAGGACCCGGGCAGTGCTGGCAGGGCGGTAGCTGTGGCTACACACACAGAGCTTCCCTTGAGCAGCCACCAGCTGCTCCTGCCCTGGGGTTTGTGTCATCAGCTCCAGCGCTCCCGCCTCTCCCCATTGTTAGCAGGGACAATGGCACATGTGCAGGGCCGGGGGAGAAAGGGCTTTCCCTGCTCTGAGGAGCCCTCCTGCCCCAGCCACACCCGAATGCCTGCAAGAGGAGGAAGAGGAGGAGGCAGCCCTGCGTGCCCACACCGGGCTGTGGCTCCTCCAGGCACTCAGCCAGCCCTGCTCTTTCCCTTCCTGGCATCACAGCCCAAACACCAGCAGCCCTCCAGCCACATCAACCTCTTCTGGTGCACATGGCCACTCAGGGATTCTTCCCAGTCCGTAATGGCAAATTGTTTGGAGCAGGGGGGATTTTCAAGTGCTTCCCAGGCAGCTCAACACCCCTTTGTCGTCTACTCCTGCTTAGGCTGGAGAACCCACAAGTGTCTGGAGCCACAGTCCCCCATCCCTTCCACTGTTGCCTTCAGGGACAGCAAGTGGGTCACTTCACATCCCTGGGGAGCAGTTTTGCCACAGAAAAAAACCACCCTTAAGAAATTCTTTTTTTTTTTTTTTTTTTTTAGTCCAGGCCAACCCCTCTGCTTTGAAATGTTAGTGTAGGAGAGATTGTGGATATAGACAGCACTGTCATAAAGAGGCACTGAGCTTTACAAAAGAGAATCCTAATGTTAGAAAAAAGTTAGAAATGAAAGAGGAACAAAAATATCCGGATTGTAGCAGTGAGAATTTACCCAGGCACGCAAGGAACTGTGCTAGTGAGTACTCATCTCTCTCAGCTATCACTTATTATCCATTATCATTAATTATTTATTATCTATTATCTATTGTTATTATCAATTACTTACATTTTTATTATTTATTACTATCTACAGTACCTAAAACTCAGCAAGTGGAGGCTCTGCCACATGGAGAATTCTTTATGTTTGGTCAAGAATCACAACAAACATGAGTAAAACCAAGTTTTGCTGAGTTTGCTCTCCTATTGCTGAGGAATTCACAGCTGGGAACACCAGGAATAAACAAGAAAAGGCTTAATAAATCTCCCTTAAATGTTGAAATCTTTCTTGCAAAGAGCAAACACCTCCTGTCTGTATTTTATAGAAGAAATGTCTCCCTGTGGCTAGGGGAGCTCAAGCATGTTCCAAAGCAGAAGCATCTGCTGTAACATTTATGCCTAAGGGGTTTGAGATCCTGCCAGTCAGCACTTGATTACAACTCACTCTCATATTCTTTTCAGATAATTCACAGAAATCTGCCCATAAGATGTCAGCCGTAGCAGGGTAACGGACACCAAAGCATGGTAACAAATATGCATTTAGGAACGCCAAGGATGGATAAACACCTCATGACATCACAATCTGCAGCTGCAGGGGAAAACATTAAAGAAATACAGGACAAGTGCAAAAGCATGAGAGAAGAAGGTGTATGAAAAATTGTAAACCAGAAGCTGAAAAAGCATTTTATTGAGGGAAAAGAAGATGGGGGAAGAGAGAAAAAAAAGTCACAGCTGCTGCTCCTGGGGAGAAAAAAAGAGAAGGATTTCGTGAATACTGACATAAAGAGGCTTTCTCCAGTAACAATAAAACTGCTGTAAAAAAACAAAAAACAGGTTGAGAGACAAGACCACCACAGCCTTTGTAAAGATGGGCCTTTCTCCAGCCGCTCGGAGCGCCGCTGGCCCGCACACCCCTCACGAACGGCGACGCCGAAGGCTCTGAGGGCTCTGAGGGGAGCAGCGGGAGGCGCCCCCTTGCGGCGCGGGAACAGCGGCGCGGCGGCGGCGCAGCCCCGCCCCGTCTCCCTCACGGCGCCGCCATGGGCTCTCAGTGACGGTCCCCGCGCTCCAGCGGCACTCCAGGCTCCTGCTTCTCCCTCAGTGGCATTCGGGACAATCGCTTTCACTCTCCGTGTCTCTCAGCAAAAGCTTTCAGCGAAACTCGGGGTACCTGCCTGTCCCTCAGCGGCACTCGAGACACCCACTCTGCCCCTTCGTGTCCTTCAGCGAAAGCCCTCTGCGAAGCTCGGGGCACCTGCCTGTCCCTCAGCGACGCTTGGAACACCCATTTTTCCTCTCCATGTCCCTCAGGGCACCCAGGCGACACTCAGGACACCCATTCTGCCCCTCAGAGAAACTTGGGGCACCTGCTTGTCCCTCAGCGACACTCGGGACACCCACTCTGCCCCTCCGTGTCCCTCAGCGAAAGCCCTCAGTGAAACTCAGGGCACCTGCCTGTCCCTCAGTGACATTGGGGACACCCAATTTTCCTCACAGCGCCCCAGGGACACTGCAGGAACCTTCCTCTGCCTCTCTGTCCCTCGGTGTCAATGGGGCACCCACATTCCCCGTCAGTGACCCCTGAAGCCCCTCAATGACAGGGTACCCCACTAGCCCTGGTGACCCCCACAGACCCCTCCTCAGTTCTTGGGGCATCTACTTCTCCCTTCAGTGCCAATAATCTCCAGCACTGCTAAACCTGAGGCCTCTGAGTCATTTAAAGTCCTGAAAAAAATGCATAAGATTATTTTTAAAAAAACCCCAAAATTCCTATTGAAGTTCATATGCTGTCTTAAAACCCTTTGGAACAAGTATGTTCCTAAGCTTTTTGTCGCAAGGATTGACTTATTTACTATGGTTATTTACACATGAACATAAACTGTATTTATGTAGTTCTTTACTGTTGGAAGAGTGGAAGGTGTTTGTGTCAGTCAGTTATGACATGATTTTTCATTTTACTCTTTCCGTGGAATATAATTTTTTATGCCATGGTTTGTGGATTTCAGTTAAAAAACATTGGGTAAGATACTCCAAAAAGCAATATTTTTTAACTTGAAGGACGTACTGATAGTACTTACTTATTTCTGAGGTTACACATTAGTAAATTTAAAAAAAACCCTTAAAGCAAGTTTTTTGTAACCAAAGGAAAACCAGAAAATTCTGTTGGTGTCAATCAGAGGCAGGGATAAAAAGAAATAATAATAATAAGAAAGGCAGGGAATGAATTAGATGAAAACCAGAGGAAAACATTGCTATTATAATCATGCTACACACACGGGGGAAGGCTCTTCTTGCAAAACACACACTTAAGAAAGCAGGGATTTACTAAGCACCACAAACAACATAACCTGCTGTTTACTACAAGAAGAGTAAACAAACACTAGGAACCAACCCACAGCTTCTTTTCGTGCAATTCCTCTCTGTGCTGGCAGGCCAGGGCTGCATTTCTGAAAATATATTGGAAATAAATCACAAGAAGCTCCACTCAGATGAAGCAAAGCGTTGTAAATATGAATTAATCAAGTGTGAAGGGCCAACAAAGATGGTCCATGTGTCCTCCTCACGCAAAGCAATGATTTGATGGAGCCAGCCTCTTCCTCTCAATAATACATGGATTGCTTTTGCTTGGGAGAGATACAAGGGAATCAGAATTCCAGAATGGTTTGAGTTGGAAGGGACATTCTACTCGTGGGGCGTCTCCATCCAGGGAATTCGGAGTGGAAGCAGTAAAAGGAGTGATGAGGAGGGGAAGCGAAGGCACGGTGTTGATCCTGCTGGGAACCACGAGAGTGCAGCATTGCCCTTCGCTAGGCTGGTGCTCGCAGGTGCAGCGGGCACAGGGCGAATTCCTTGTAGGTGAAAACAAATTACACAATCCACCAGTCCTGTGCTTTCTTGATGGAATACAGGCCGTTTGTAGGGCGGGTTTTGGTTTATTTTTTTATGTTTTAATGCTTTTTGCTTTTCAGAGCTTAGGCTGGTGTTCCCTGGCGGGATAGATAGGAGGGGTGAAAGTGAGTTTTGTGAGCTGCACAGCTCTATTTTGTGTACATACTCTTAGGCCTGACTTACTGAAGCGGGGCTTTAGTGGAGATTTCAGTGGGGAGAAGCACTCCCAGCTGTATGGAAAGTAGATGGGAATAATAATAAAATAAAAGTTAAAATCTGCTGATCTCTCTGCAGCTTAGTAGATTGAAATGATGAAAACAACTTCTGAATTCTGGCAGTAGTGTGCTTGGAGTGTGCCATGGGCTCCTCCAAGTTTTATGGTTGCATCAAAGGGGTAAGGGAGACTCTAATGGAGAATGATGGCAGGGAAAGAGAATAGAATCACTGGAAAGCTGGACTGGTAGAGTCATTCAATAAATTATAAGTCTTCCTTCTCTGTCCCAGGCTTTTAAGAACCAGCAATGTTGCTGGCACACATCTGTGTGTGGTGGTGAAGGAGTGAGTGGCTTAGACCTGGGAGCGCTCCTGGATTGTTTTTCCAAGCCTAATATGTCCATCTTCTGCAGGTGTGGACATCTGACCCTGTCTGGATGGCTGTAGACCTCAGTGTTGTGCTTCCTCAGTGCTTCCTGCCTGGCTGCAGCTCAAACTACCTTGACCTACAAAACAATTTCCAGCCCCTTGCTAAACACAACAAAGAACTGTCCATTGATCACTTAAATGTTTTCCAGTCCCCCGTCTAGCCAAACTCTCTCTCTTTGGCACCACTTACCACTCAGTAAACCTCAGCCAGCAGAAAAAAAAAAAAAAAAATTGTTTCCTTGTTTACAAAATAAAAAGAAAAGAATGATTCTCTGATTCAAAGGCCTGGGGACCTTGTTTACCCTCCAGCCTGGAGTGATTTTTTATGGGCAGGTTTATAAACCCCTGCACAGCCAGCTCTGTAGTGCTGACAGACCTTTCAGTGTAGCTGCTTTAACACCTCTGCTCTGACAGGAGCACCACTGTGGATCTCAGGGATGGCAGCAGAACAGACAGACATTTTTGGCTATTGGCAGGCTCATGTGTACTGCAGAGACCTTTATCTTGCTAAGGGAGTGGAGCCCTTTTAGTGTCTTGATGGGGAGAGGGCAGGAATTGGACATGGACAAGGCCAACCATTCCAGTCCTAAAGCTGCCATTATGCCCTGAGTTTTTGAGGCAGAAACTTGGTACAGTGCATAAGGGAAAAGTGTTGGGATGAGCCTTGTTCTAGAGCTGTCACCAGCAGTGTTCTGTCACCAGTGTCACAACACAGCACCTGAAAACTCCTCAATGTTCTTTGTGCCCCCTCTGGCATGTGCTCTTCTGCAGCCTTTGGTTCTTCCTTATCATAAATCCTGTAGGATTTAACTTCTAGCTACTGATCCTTTTGACAGTAATGGACCATTAACTAACTAGACATAAAATTGAAAGTGTAAATCCCTCTGCCTTGGGGAATTAGAAAGCAGGTTTAGGATGCCAGGCCATGAAACGAAGGAGTTCATTGTAATCACAAATGAGGCCTGATTAACTCTGCCTGCCTGGCACCCTGATCTGTGCCAGCTGATGAACACGAGACCAGGAGGTGAGGCTGGTGCTACAGGATATTTGCAAGTGCCAGGGAAAGCCTTTAGTCTTGGTGCTTGAGCTTCTTTATCCCATTGCCAGGACCTTCCCTGTAGGACAGTGTGGGAGTCTGGGCTGCTGAGAAGTTATCTCCAGACACTGATGCTGCTCTGATTGGAAGTTTGGTGTGTTGTCCTTTGTTGGGATAAGGAGAGAAGGGAAGCCCAGAGGTGAAGGTGCCTCTGCCCCTGGGGAACAACAGCAGGGAGAAGGATGAGGTGATGGAGCAGCTCTGCAGGTTGGTGTGTAGCAAGTCCAGTTCCCAGCCCTTCCTGGGCCTCCAGTGACGTCACAGGGCTCTGCTCTGAGTCTGTGGGAGTGAGTTTGCTTCTCTCTCTCTTTTCACTAGACCTTCAGATCAGTGCCCACTGATTAAAAAGTTAATTACCTTCCTCTTGCAGAAATGACTCTGCTTTCAAGGTCTCCCAGGCCCTTAATTGAGCATCTTTCTTTGACAGAACTTTTGATTGAATTGCAGTGAGTCACCATCAGAGCCAGGATGGCCAGGTCAGATGAAGATGTCTTCAGGGAGCCAACGGGGCTCTGCATGTGCTGAATGGAGTGGTCCCAAACTCCTCAGGAATAAGCGACTGCATCAGAGAGAAGAGAGGGAAGTGGGTTCAAAAGCAGGGCTGGGTGGAGTCTGCATTTCTGTGACCTCCTGGCAAGCGAAGTGCCTGGTGGCTAGTGGTCCCTGCGCACCAGAGCCAGCCCCACCACCTCTGTGTGTTTCAGCACTTCCCTCCTTACCCTGGATCCTGTGGCCACGCTCCTGAGCTGAGTGCCTGTGCCATTCATCATGCCGGCAGCACAAGAGCAACTGGAAAAAGTGTCTGGAATTTATCACCGATGGCAGGAGGTTTTGTCTGTAATAGAAAACATTTTCTCCCTCCTCTCTTCTAGAGCTTTTCTCCTTCCCTTCTCTCATTATTATTATTATTAAGAAGCTTAATGCCATATGTCTTGCTGTTTCATAAATAACCCCTGTAATCAAACAGCACTGGGTAAATGGGCAGTCCGGCTTATGCAATTTGTTTGACAAAATGAATCCAGAAAAATATGAGTCTGTGGAGGAAAGACAAATAGAGCAGCTTGGATGAATGTGTAAACCAAGAGAAAAATGGCTTGGCAGAGCAGCTGATGCTATTTTTATCCATGCAAATGAAGTTTGGGGCTAATTTATTAAAAATACAGTACAGAACTTGCCAGAATGGTCAGTGTCTCCTGGAATGGAGAGCAAGAAAGGTTCTCTGCCTCCTGAGGGTACAGGGGTGCAGCTAAGGAGGGAGTGAGGTGCAGACTGGAGTGTGCTTAAGCTGCCAGAAGGAGGGCTGGGCCTGGAGCATCACCCAGGTGGCAGGAAGGGAGGAGAAACTGCCCTGGGCTGGTGGTCCTGGCATCCATCCATCCATCCATCCATCCATCTCAGATCACAGGGAGATCCCAGAGTTACCTGAGGCTCAGGAGAGCCAGCTCTGGGCTGGGTGCGACCGTGATGAATCCCAGATAGCCAGGGTTAGATCTGTGCCTTCCTGAACAACTCGGCTGTTGCTCCCTGTACCCTGCTCAAGACGTATCTGAGTATCCACGTGAACTTCCTTGGGTAGGAAATGCTGCAAACAGCTCCTGCAAGGCTGTCTCTGCAGTCTCTTCCATGGGAAATCCATCCCAGAAGACAGTGAGAGCCTGTCTCAGCCTGGGAGGTGCTGCAGCCTAGAGGAGAAATCCCTTCATTCTGCAGCAGGGCCCTGCCTCTTCCTCACCATCAGGCGGCAGTACAGGCTCTGGTGCCTGGCCGGGCTGGGAAGTGCAGATGAAGGGGAGCATTCTTTCATTGAAGAGAAGTATCTTGGCTGCTGCTCCCTGCAACTCACCTTTTGTGGATCTGCCCCGTGGCCAAGGCAGCTGAAAAGCTGAATTTTTAATCAAAGCAATGAATTTGTTTCTAGGGAAGTAGGGGTTCTGGAGAGGGGGATGTTTCCCTCCCTTCTCACCTCCTTCCTTCAGAATACTTGAGATATCTTTGCTCTGACTTCGCAAGCACAGCATTGTCCTGTGGGCTCGAAGGGAGGCCTGTGGGATGATGTGCACACGGGGATACAGGAGGAAAAGCAGAGGCTGGGCCTGAGCTGTGTGCTGGAGGCAGGCAAAGCTGCAGTGCAGGTGGCTCACGTGTTGGACTGCACATCCACAGCCAGGGATGCTGGCTCATTAGTCGAGGAAACACCTCTCTCCTTCCTGGCTGCTTCCCTCCTCCTCCTCCAAGTGGGAATGCAGCCCCCATCCTTTTCCCCCATTCTTGGTGTGTATGAGTATTCTTTTTTAAGTGGAAAGCTGAATATTTTAAACAAACACTGCTTAAAATCTATAATTTATGGGCAAGGCTTCAGAAGAGGAGATCATTCATTTCTTGGTGCTGAGGGTGTCTCCATCTGCAGCAGCCCCCACTACTCTGTTCCCAGTTGACTGGTGCAGCATAAGGGATTAGGCTTGGGCATGGCAGCACTGAGCAGCACACTGAAAATTCCCAGCTCTGAATGAAGGAAAACCGGATTTTCTTCTCTTGAAGGCAGGAACAGCTCCAAGCCCTCCATCAGTGGGATAGCCCTCCTGCTTGCCTGCCTGGAAGCAGCTGGCTGGGCCCCGCTTTTGGCCCGGAGCTGGGCTACCTGGCACAGCTCTTGGAATGGGTGTTAGGAATCCGCAGCCCTGCTTCAGCTCCCAGCTCACCCCTTACTTAAAATATGAGGGAGTCAAGGTACAGGTGAGCAGTCTGAGCTGGCAGAGGCTGAGCTCCCAGAGCTGGCAGGTCAGACATGATGAGAAGCTGAATCAGGATCTGAACTTGAGCTTACAGGCACTGCTGGGCAGTGGGAGACCCCAGGTCACTGGGAGAAGACCCTCCCTCTGCTGTCCTTCTCCTCTCTGTGCCCCTGCATGTTCCCCAAGCTGAGCTGCATGAGGGAGAATTCCAGGCTTGTTCGTTAATGGGAGCAGAGAGACTTTTGCTTCGATTAATTAATTTGCTGCTCTTCCCCATTTTCAGGACCATCTTTTATTCATGGCCAAGTAGCTCAGACACCGCTGCTTGCTGCCTGTTCAGGATGCTGGCATTAATATTTCATCCCAGAGCCTGCTTGTGCTGAACAGAGCTCATGTCCCACGTTCCTGCCTCTTCCCGATGTTCTCCTGCCCTGGCCCAGTTCATATTTCCCCCTTCCAGCCCCAGGCTGGGTCTCCCTGTCTCTTCACCAGTTGCATGGGTTCTCCTAGGATCATATTCCCTGGGAATTAAATGTGGCACACTTGGAGCTGGGGCTTGGAGCTCACTGCCTTTGTCTCCTGTGGCTCTGGGCAATCAGCCCTGCACAGAGGGTGTTGTGCTCACTGTGGGAATAATGGGTTCTGGGAGCAACTTGTGATATCAAGCAGCAGGGAGAGGGGAGTGACTCATCCTGCTGTCCCCTCCCAGGAAAGCAGGATATATATTTCAGTTGCCAGAGGAGCAGTGTGGTGCTGTGGCTGCAACCTGGGAGAAAAGAAGGCTGTTGAAGAAGAAAACCTGGGCAGTACCTTTCTGGGCAGCAGCAGAAATGAGGAAATGACACTCTCTTGCTTCTTCACCTCTCTCCTGGCTCCTGTGCATGCACTTTCTAGCATTCCTTAGTTCTGCAGAGCTCCAAGGCCAGGAGCAGCCTTTGCCTGCAGCTCTGCAGCCCCAGCAAGGCATCGTGTCTGAACGAGGGCAGGCCACAGTGCAGCTGTTTGGAGTGGCACTTCATTTACTGAATGGCAGCTCCATAATCCTCTTCAAATAAAAAGACTGTGGAGTCTCTGTACTGGGAGCTGATGGAAGGCTTTGCTCTCAGGCAGGTGGCACAAAGGGAGTATCTCCTTGCTGCATGTAGGAGTTCCTGGGTTTTTCTTGGGCTTTGTTATTTGATTATTTGTTCTCTCATTTGTCGCTGGGGTTAGTGGATATGATTCATTCTCCCTGATTAAGCCACTTGTTTTGGCAGGGAAGCATTTCCCAGATCTCATGGGATGGGATGAGAGGCCTTGCAAGGCACAAACTGTGCCCTTCCCTCTTCACCCCAGAGATGCCAGAACTGATTCCTGGTACATCTTCCACCTCTTCAAGAACAAAACAGCACAGCAGCTAATGAAATGTCTGGCCCCAGCCCCCTGGCTCAGAGGCTGCAGAGCCACCAAAGCAAAGTGTCACCTTAAAAGAGGTCTCCAGACTGGATTGGTAAAAATGTGGAGTTGGGAGGAAAAGTGGAATTGTTGGAGAATATGTGCACATGCCTGTGCATCCAGAGGTGTAGTGGGGACACATTCAACTAAAGGAATGTGACTGCAGGTTGCAGGATGTGGAGGCTGCAAGTGGCAGAATCTCCACAGCCTCATTAAACACTCATGTCCAAATTAAATGTCAGATTTGCATATTGGTTCTGTGTTTTCAGGCCTGTTATGCAGCAGCTGGGAGGAAGCTGATCATGGGTGGGGGTGCTGTGGGTATCCAGATTGCAGCCTCACTCCTGAGAGCCCTGCAAAGCCAGGCACCTGAAATTTTAGGGGGAACTAGGGATTAAACTTGGTTTTGCAAGAGTCAGGGCTCTGTGCCTCAATTACTGCAGGCAGAACAGAGAACTGCATGTGGTGGGCAGTGTTGTGTTGTCCAGGTTCTCAAAGCACCTTTGGTTTCTCACTACCCCCTTTCTTTCAGAAGACAGAGGAAGGGCAAAGCACTGCCTGGACTCTGTAGAGTTTCACCTCTGGGAAGCCCTTTACAATTTTCCCCAGGCTAGATTCCAGTCAGATCATGTTCTAATCCAGGTTTAATTACCTGTGAGGACAGACAAGCCTCTTTCTTGTCTCTTGGGAAGCCCAACCAGCAGGCTAGCATTGGGAATTGGGACAAAGCCAAACTGCAGCCCAGGTTGGTGAGCCCCTGATGTGCACAGGAATTTCCATTGTGGCTAGAGACAGATAAATGTGTTCAGGGACTGAACTAAGCAGCACTGAGAAGCAGTGATCCAGCACCTGAGAGAGGCATGTCCCCTCCTGTGGGTAGTGAGAGGTTTCCCTGGCTTTGTAGTGGAATGCTCATTATCCATGGAGAACCCTGCCAGTGTTTTGGCTGCAGCACGAAGGTGCTTCCCAACAGCATACTGGAGAAGCTAAAAGTAGGAAAAGATTCCTGGTCACCTGGGTACACTGTTGGGTTCTGCTCCAATATCCCTGCTGGGACCTGAAGGAGCATGCAGCCCATCTGCTTCAGTCCCTGGAAAGAGATGGGAAGCAAGGAGGAAGAATGAGGTCTCTCTTGCTCTGGGAAGCCTGTGCCTCCTGCCCTGCACATCTGTGAAGCATGTCACATCCCTGATGGGCCAGATGCTGAAAGATGCTGAACATCCTTAGAAGGTCAAACTCAGAAGGCGGAAAACCCTCCTGGCTAATTCTGAGACACAGCAGTGATGGGGCCTGCATGACAGGAGACACCCAGGAGGCAGAGCAGCTCTGAGTCAGCTGTCTCCAGAGAAAGATTTGTCAATGGCTTGGCCAGTTTTCACCAGCTCCACAGCTGGTGGCAGTTTCTTCATTCAACAAGCATCTTGTGTGGCTGACGTGCTGCTTCCTGGACGAGAGCCAGGGGATCAGACCCTCCTTTCTCACTGGGGCTCAGTGCCTGTGGAGTTTATCCAAGCACTCTTTGCACTGCAGCACCATTTCCAGAAGAGGAAAAGGGGCCCATCATCAGGGGAGAGCCTGCAGGCCTGGGCTGGGGAAGTGAAGGGTCTGAAGCATCTTCTCCGGCCACCTTCTCAAGTGCTGCCTGCCTGTGAGCCCTGGCTCTGAGTGCAGCCCACAGCTCACCACCTTAGGGCAGACTCTTGGCAGGCAAGGACAGCATAATTCCAGGGAAGTTGCTGCAGATTCACATGATTGTAAAGAGAAACGATGCAGGATAATTAAACTTCTGAGTCCTAGGAGGGACTGGAATAAAACTCTGAGATCTGCCACAGGCTGCCTATATGTCAGTTGTATAATTCCTCTAGGTCCCAGTTCTCCTATCCATAAAAGCTGGAGAACCTCCTGATGTGGTTATGAGGGATGCAAACTTTGTGGGGCTGAAAGTGCTCCTGCCAACCACAACAGCATCCAGGAAAGTTGTGGAGCTCCATGTGCTGCTGTGCTGACTGCTTCATCCCTGATCCTGGCCAGGCAGAGCTGCCCCTGAAGCTAAGTCCACACTTCCCCTCCAAGTCCCCAGATGTGAGAGAGCACCCAACTTAGAGGTGGTGGCAGCTTGGGTCTGAGAGGCATCCTGCGACGTTCGGAAATGCAGGAGGCGGCCGCCTTCTCAGGGCCACAGGCTCCTGAACAGAAATGACGGCCCTTTTCCCTGTGAAGCAAAACTCACCAGCCAAGGTTCTTGATGTCAGTTTTCAGGAGGCAATTGGGACAGTCAAAGTAGCCAGAGTTGGTGGTGGTGGCACCCTTGGGTCTGGGAGGCAACCTGCGATATGAGGAATTTGAGCAGGAAGAGCCAAATGCCTCCTGCAAACTCACAGCAGGAACCTCAAGTGGTGAGTTTCGGTTCCCATGGCAAAAGAGCCAGAGGTCATGTTCAGTGGCCCTCTGATTCCTCGAGTTCCGATTAGCACAGCATGCCTCCCAGACCAACCTATCACCACATCCAACTCTGGCCGCCATAACAGTGCCAAGTGCATCCTGCAAACAGACATCAGGAACGTGGGCTGGTGACTTTTGATTGCCATGGAAAAGTGCCGGCATTGTAGATCAGGAGCCAGTGGCCCGCAGTGGGGGGCCGAGAAGAGGGAGCAGTTTTGTGTTCCCCTTGGGATGCCCTTTGCAGCTGCAGTGTGCCTGGAGCCATGGGCTTTGTGGTTTTCCAAACCCTAACCCTAAGCCTAACCCTAGCCAGGAAATCAGCCTAGGGCTAGGGCTGGTTCCAGGGAAAAAGCTGTGAAGGAAGGCATCTTATGGCAGTTTTGTGTTCCCCTTGGGATGCCCTTTGCAGCTGCAGTGTGCCTGGAGCCCTGGGCTTTGTGCTTTTCAAAACCCTAACCCTAGGCTTTACCCTAACTCTTACTTGGAGCAGTAAAATCAACCTTGGGCTAAGGCTGGTTGCAGGGAAAAGAAACTTACTATCCCAGGTTCCTGATGTGGGTTTGCCGGAGGGACTTGGCACTGTCAAACCAGCCACACTTGCGTGTGGTGGCACCTTGCATCTGGGAGGCATCCTGCCATGTTTGGAATTTCAGCAGGCAACGGCCACTGTGTGCCACCGGCCCCTGCACACGAACGCCGGCCCTTTTCCCTTAGAAACACAACTCACCAGCCCAGGTTCCTGATGTGGGTTTGCCGGAGGGACTTGGCACTGTCAAACCAGCCACAGCTGCTGATGGTGGCACCTTGCGTCTGGGAGGAATCCTGTGCCGTGTGGCACTGCATGTTGTGTCCGCCCAGCGCCGTTAGCCTGCAGTGGTGGCAATCCCAAGAGCCTCCTTGCTCTCCAGGCATCCCTTGGTGCCCTCTCTTCCCACACCAGAAGGCCATGTTCTTTCTGTAGATGACGGCGTCTCTCATGGTGCTGTGGAAGGAGTGAGCCTCAGGCTCCTGCAGGCTGGAGAGCTTGCTATGAAGAATAGCTGAGGACAGGGAGCTGCAGACAGGAGCTGTGTCGAGTTTTAACGTGCCTGGTCTTTCGTGTTTGCATGTATTCATGACTGTGAGAAAACTTCTGCCTCTGTGTTCATCTTCCTGTTAGAAAATCCTTTGGCTCTGAATAGATTTACTTTCCAATCTGAGCTGGTTAGTACCGAGCCTGTCTCTTTGAAGGAGGTGAATGACTCTGGAGGGCTTTATTGGCAGGACAGTCCTCTGGAGAGGGGGCTGGCTTGCTTGTTATCAGTGGGATCCTTCACCGCTGGAGACAACCTTGGTGATAAGGTGTGAACAGTGGTGGATAGTCGAAGATTCCCAAGTTGGCTACAGGCTTGACCCTCCTTTCTGTACCCATGGGAAAATCCCTGGTACCCACTTTATTTCTGTAAGAGTTGCCTGTCTGTAACACGCAGTGAAGTGTCACTCTCTCCACGGATGGCGATGCAGTAGTCTCCTCTTCCCTTGTGTTTCAGGCCCAGAGCTATTTGGATACCTATAAATAAACAGGCAGCTAGGTTGTGAAAAGGACACCACCACAGAGTGCTTGCTCAGCCTGTGCTTTCTGTCACTGCAGTGATGGTGCAGACAATTCCTCAGCTCCTGTGGCTGGATTCCCCTGGGGCTGTTGTTAATGCTGCTTTCCCAGCTCTTCCACTGAGCTGTCTCTGCCTGCTGCACTCATATAATCAGGAGCTGTAAAACCACTGACAACTCCAGAGACCAGAATGGAGATTACATGCAACATTAAAATTAAAAATGGGCCAGAGTCACCAAGTTGTCTTCATTAGGCAGCTCTGTTTTATTTGTGGCTTTTACTGCCAAATAAATAATCTTTCAGGTGAGTTAGTTAAGCTGCCCTCAGGAGCAAGACAAGATGGGTGAGGAGAGGCAGTTCAGCACAGCCTCTGGGATTCCTGCCACAAATCAGCCAGTCTGGAAATGGCAGAACTGGTGTCAAACCAGGTTGAAAGCCCACCAATGCTCAATGCAGAATGACACAGAACAGTTCCCTCCCCTGAGCCAATGCAGAGCTGCCTTCAGCGCCGACGGTGAATTCAGCCTTTCGAGACCCTGCCTCCCTCACAGCCACTCTCTGTCATCTGCATTCATTTGGTTCCTCAGGTTTTTTCCTCTCCCTTTCTGCCAGTCTTCTAGCAGAAGAAGGCTTTCCTTTCCTGAGGAAAGCATCAGGGGGAGGCAGCACTATGGATGCTTAAGGGCAATTTTAAAAGGTAGAGCATGGTTGCCCCAGAATATTCCAGGATTTTCTATGGAGAAAATGCACTGGTCATACACTCACCAGGTGTCAGTGCTTGTGGATTGTGTTCCATGTGGATTGCTGATAGAAACTGCAATGCATGAACAGCTTGGTTTGACTCTGCATCAGAACCAGATGAAGTCTTGTCTTTGCTTTGTTTCCTCTTTGCACTTCTAGACCTTTTCAAACCACAGCCTTGAAGGGCGTGACAGTTATTCCCCCGGGGATCAAAAACTCTCTCGCAAACCAGTGCAGAATTATAGCAGTGATGCTGCTGACACTGCAGAGAGAGGAGAGGCAGGGAAAAGGTGCTAAAATTCTCTCTTGCTTCCTTCCTGGTCTGGGTTAGGGTCCTGTCTCCCCAATTACTCCTTGAGTCCTGGCCAGAATCATTGCAAACACAGGAATCCAACCCTCCCACTCCTGCCACCGTGTCAGAAAAGCTCCTCAGTACTAACGAGGGAAGATGAGACACACTAGGTAAGGTCAGGTATTCTCTGACTATCTGCTTCCTCATCAGAAAACTGTTTAATGAAACTGAAATTCCTCACAGGAAATGCTTCCATAAATAAGTTGATTTTTACAAGAGACATGATAGCAAACATATCTGTAAGAAAGAATGAAAGATACTGGTGAATCATCCCAGCTTGACACTTCTAAATGAAAAAAAAAGCCACTTTATATTTTGTTCAGAAAAGAAAGTTAACTGATATTAAAAAAAAAAAAAAGAAAAAAATCACAAAGGCTGAACTTGTGTGGGTGCAGATAATGAAGGAGCTCTTGTCCTCCTGCTCAAGGAGTCCTGACTGAGCTCAGCTGAGTGAACTTCATCCTTTTAATACAAGACACATCTTTTCCCAACCACTCTTTGACTTTTAAATGCCCTTTGCTGCAAAGCCAGAGCTGCGAGCAGGCACCTTGCACAGTTTGAAATTACACCTGCTATAGGGTGAAAAATAAACAGTGTGGGAAATGGTGATGATTCTTTGTCATCTGTCCCCAGCAGTTTGGGGACCTTTCCCTTGGTGTGGGACATGGTTCTGTTGGGACTCATCCCCATATGGGCCACCAGTTGTTGGCATCAGTGCTTGGCACCAGTCAGTGGTGGATGGAACCTGACTGTCATCACCTGCTTATTATCTTACTGTAAGACTTTCATACCTTCTCTCTGTGAGTTCCCACAGGCAGCTCCTTGCAACACTGACTCCTTTTCTCTTTCTTCTGCATGGCCAGCTGACTCCTTCCTGCCCCTGGCACGACCACCCAGCCCTTACTTGTCCCTCACAGCACATACTTGGCCTTACTCTCCCTTGCACAGCCACCTAAGCCTTCCTCCTCACAGCATGGCCAACAAACTCCAGGTCTTCTCTCAACTAGCTAACCCTCTCTTTTTATAACACCCATCATTATTTGACATAGCTGTGCCCTATGAAGGGCAGGCCTGTTCCTACTTTTTGGTAATTACTACAGCTGCAACTCCTCAGGGGTGAGATTGCCTTCAGCATCACCTCTGTTCTCCTACAATCCATCCTCCCACGTGGTTCTGCTCCCGTGGTTGCCTTTGGGTAAGGGAGACTGGCAGGGGGCTGTCATGGACCATCAGGAAGAATTCCTTCATGGAAATGGTTGTCAGGCATTGCAAGGGTCTGCCCAGGCATGTTTGGAGTCCCCATCCCCAGAGGTGTCCAGGGAACACCTGGATGTGGCACTCAGTGATCTGTCACAGGTTGGATGATCCTGGGGGCCTTTTCCAACCTTAATGATCCTGTGATCAGATCTGGATGCTGAGTGGCACTGGTGCAGATGTGCTTCCTGGCCCCCAGCTTTGGCATTCAGATTTCTCTGTGCTTCTCATCTCTGGGGGAAAAAAAAAAAAAAAAAAAAAAAAAAAAACCCCCAACAAAACAAAAAAAAAAAACCAAATCAAAAATGTGAGAAAATAAAAGCAGCTCCCAACTCCATTCCCTAAGGATGTGTGATGCTGGTGAGGAGGAGGTCCTGCACAATAGCAAGAGAGGTTATTCAAGCCTTGGAGATGGGTCTGGTTTCACTGGCACGGATGTTAATCCATAATAAATCCTCCCTGCTGGGCTCCTGCACATCACAAGTGACAGGGGGACAGAGGGACAGAGCCCACAGCCACGCTGGCAGTGCCTGAGTGTCCCCTCCCTGCTGCAGAGGTTGTGAGCACGAAGGGAACTCCCCATCCCTCAGCAGGAGCAGTGCCTGAGAGCTCCTCTGCTCCCTGGGGAGGCAGCAGGAGAGCCTTCCTGCTGCGTGCCTCTGTGTGTCTGTGTGTGTTTTTTCCCTGTTAAAATCAAATTAAATCTTCCTTGGCTCATCTGCCAGGGCGTGAGGGAGCTCCCTCCTGCCTGTGCCATGAAAGACTTGTCACCCCGTGACTCCGGAGGGGCACAGCACGAATGGCTGTGCTCGTCCCCAGCTGTGCTTTGAAGGAGGTGGTTCTCATTCGTGTAACGTCCTGTTGTGAGGGGATTTCATTAGCTGTGGTTTGTTCGCTCAGCAGACACAAATGAGGTTTTAATTTTTTGTGTACAGGCGCGAGGTGGTTTTTGTTTCATCGCGTCGGGAGCTCTCGCAGGCCTCCCACGTCAGAAGCTGCCTCCAAGAGGATGGAGAGGGCCAGACAAAACAGGGATGATCTTCCAGAAGTGGCAGGATAGGCTGCAGCTTTAATATGAGCTGGGGTTTTTTTTTGTCACAAACACATGGCACTACAGTGTGCCCTTCCTCTGCACTTGCAGTGTTCCTGTCTCCAGCAGAAAGCCCCAAATCCCAGCAAAAGGTGAGTGTGTAGATGCTGAGAGGGCTGGGGAACAAACCTAAGCCTCTCTAAATCTTTCCAGAGCCTCATTTCCTTCTGCTTCTCATTGTCTCTCTCCTCTCTTCCAGCACCCAGAAGCACAATGGCATTTGCTTTCTTGCTTAATGTCAATATTTGCTTTGCTTTGGAAGTGTCTGTTTAATAATAATAATTCCTGAGCACAGAGGAGAGGTGAGGCCTCTGCAGCTTCAGACTGGGAAGAGTGGTCTCAATACCCCCATTTTCTCTACTTTCTCCTGGGGTTGGAACAGCAAAGGGAACATTTTCAGCCTTCAGGATTCTCACCCACAGACAGCTGATTTTAGTGGAATTCCAATACATCAGGTTCTTACTCCTGTATGTTTTCCTTCCCTCCCTTCCTTCTGTGATGAATGCTGTCTCTGAGACAGGCAGCTGCAGAGGGAGATGCAATTTTTCTTAGCTTGCCAGCCATCAATCTCCTGAACAATACCCTGCTAATGAAATGGCAATGTTATCACACGCCTGTCACCAGCAGTAATGGGGCGGCCATTCCAAACTCAGACCAGACAGAGGAAGAGCAAGGAGAGCTCTGGAGTTTGTCTTCAGGGTGTGATTCCTCCTGAAGGCTTTTGACAAACTCTGGGCATCTTTCAGTGCAGAACTGAGAGCCCCCAAGTGAGGTTTGCTGGCCACCTCCTCCCCCTTTGCAAGGACAGAAGTGTCCACGCATGGTCAGCCACTGTCCTGCAGGACCATGCTGAGTTTTCATCTGAATTCACTGTGTGGGCACCTGTGGTCATCCAAGGAGCCAGTTCCTCCTGTCTCCTTTGGCAACTGACATCACCAAGTGGGCAAGAAAGTCCTTGATGCTTCTTCCTTTGAAAATCAAGTGCTTTTTAAGTGGACAGACTCTTCCCTGACCTGTTGCTATTCC